AGGTCTTTTCCCCAATAACAAAAGATGAAGTTTCTTCCCATAGGGGTAGTTCTCTATCTGCATCATCCAATAACCAAAATCTGTGCTATCAAATTTCTCGATCCCTGAAACCTTCACTTCATCTGCAGTCTCTGCTACCAATTGTCGTGGTATATTGAGATAGAACGATCGACGACAAAGCGAAAAATAAAACGAGAAAATTTATACCATAAAAGAACACACAAATTTACATGGTTCGGCAATTTTTGCCTACATTCACGGAGTTGCAGAGGATTTTATTACTCAAGAAATTTACATCAGTCGATCGTCTCGACTTACAAGAGCAAACTCTTTCTCTCACTTCTTTAGTCTTCTCTCTCTACACCGAGATACGCCGAAGAAGAAAAACACTAGGAGAGAACAATACTTTTTTGCTATACTTCTTCTCGTAAGCCTTACACAAAAGAGAAATCGCGAAGAAGCCTTTTAGGAGAACCGACACTTGCGATCTCTCTTCTTCTTCCTTTTGCCGCCTCCATTCCTCTCCCTGTTTTCGCCACTTGCTTCCTCCGAATCGCTTGCATCAGTGGTCGCGAAGGCGATGGGTCTTTTATATCGCAAAAACAAACTGGAGCCTCTCTATTTTGCGAAAATGGAGACTGGCTGACGTGGTAGTAAAGAGAGACGGGAACAGTTGCTATTTTTTTTTTTTTTTTTTTTCCGGTAATTGTCTCCACCCACACAACAGCTGTATCCTTATGTCAAATGTGGAAATTGGCTATTTGATAAGACATTTACTGAATATGTATCGCCTTTTTTCACTTTCTATATGCAAGTTTTCAGGGGGATGGCGCATCAGTTCTTTAAGTAAAATCTCCCTTCTAAAAATTCGATTATTATTATTTTGTTGAGCTTTTATGTAAGATCATTTCACCACTGACCTCTATGGTTTCAAGTAACAACATAGGTGGATTGGTAATCACTTTAAATAACTTTGGTAAAATTTTATTTTATTCTAATTTCGTTTGCTTTTATGGTTAATGCTTTAGATCGTTAGCCTTTAAGTACGGTAGATGCCAATTCCTCATATTGTACGGGATCTTTATCGTCATGATTTGCTATTTCATTTAGTTATTAAAGGTACTTCCCAGTTCAGCTAGCTTACAATCTTCTGTTGGATAACTAGTGATTTTTATCTTTCATAAGATATAATCGCTAGGAATGGAATATTTGTCCAGTAATTGGGATTTTTAAACCTCGTAGCTTAGTGACATTATTTCCTTATTTTATACGTGACCTGTAGCCTCATGATTTGCTATTTCATTTAGTTATTAAGGGTCATTCCCAGTTCAGTTAGCTTACGATCTTCTGTTGGATAACTAGTGATTATTGAAAACCTTTCACTAAATCACGAAGGTCAAGGATCTGTCAGAGTTGAACTTTTAAGCGGGATATACTTAAATGGACCATGCTTTTGCTAAACTTCACATTGACGAATGCTCATTTTGATCCAAGCTCGACGGCAATATCAATGGTGCATACCTTCTAGAGTCTTTGGATTATTTTATTGAATAATGTGTAGATTGTTAATTTGGTATTGTGAGACCTCATGTTCTGACCAATAGTAGGTTGTTCTTGAAGTGTTTGACCAAGTCAGGTTTTAAATAATTAGATAGAGGGTAAGGGGATTACTTGAAAAAGGAAGGGTTTATTGAAAATTAGTACTAGATATTAATTGAGAGGTTTATCTTTTATCCTTATTCATATGGATGATGGGGTTTTTTCATCTTGTTTTCTTTCTGTCCTTGAATCGTTCTTGGATCAAAATGATTTCCCAACCATTTATGAGAGGCTATTTTAATTTCGGACTGGGTAAAAAAGACTCAGTTTAATCTCAAGACTCTTTAAAATAAGGACCAGTATAGTTTTTCTTTAACAAAAATTGAAGTTGATGGTGTTCATAATGAATATTTTCAGAAATAATAGAATTTTTTTAATGATTTAATTTTCTAGTTATCTTTTTATTCTGTAGTATAGTAGCTAGTTTTGCATATGGCATGAATTGATTGAGATCATGCAGGTTATGAAGTGAGTTAAATTTTGTAAATAAATTAGTTTTGACAATTTTTTGTTATTTTTATTCCAATTTTACGAAAGACTTTTTGTTTTGTTTTTTGTGATAAATCGAATGAAGATAAAAAATAGCAGAAAATTATTTATTACAAAAAATTAAATTGCTTAGCAATCTGTGCAATCTCAATCCATTTATTTAGCATGCAAAGGTTAACTGTTGTGCACAATAAATCAAGAAAATTAGGAAATTATATTTATCAAAAAAATTTAAGAATTTTTTTTTCTTTAAAATGCCTTTATTTTTAACATTTTAACTTCAATTTTCTTTCGTTCAGTCGACTGGACTATTTTGTTCATTGTTTAAAGTGTTTAGGGACTAAGTTAGGCCTTTTATATAATCTAAAAAGAAACTCTCGTGCCTTTTTCTCTTTCTAATATTTTACCTGAGATTGGACAATATTTTAACTGACAAGTAACTTTTTATTTTCCTCTATCTTCTATGAGACAAGTTAATTCTTATGAATTCATTTATTTCCATAAAAATATTACAAACGAAGTTTGTTTATAGATTTTATAAATATCCAAAAATCCTACTTTATACTTTGAAATTTAAGTAGAAAATGCTTCAAGTTATAAATTGTTAGAATCCAAAATATTCTGCATGAAAATTAGAAAATATTTAACTAACAAGTATCTCTTTTGATATCTTCAATTTTTTCTTTTGACTATCTTAATACAATATTACTTAAATATTAAATTATTGTGTGGATTGGTTAGAAACACCATTTAATTATTAAAGGGCTTATTTGTAATGTGGTTTGCAGATAGTATGAGGAGAGAAAATATAGATGTAGAATTTGTTGTGCAACCTCTTATATGTTTTGGCATGCTCACATATTATTTTTTGTACAACTTAATAAAATCATATTTAGGTAGGCTAGGTTTATCCGTGTTTGTCCGTTTTGTTCTATGCATATGTCATTTTGTACCGTCCTTATATTTTCTTGTGACCTAATTGGTTTAGTATTTTCTGGCCCACGCTTCTGAGTCCCTGTTTCTTGGCTAGTTGATTAAACTAGGCCCATTGCTGTAAGGTCTTTGCATCATGGATTCCGTATTTGACTCATTTACTCCAATCATTCAATGTTGGTGGTGATGAAAACTAGTCTTTCCAACTCCTTTTGGTCTTCCTACAATTTGAACATGCCAACAACTGTTAATTTGAAAAGGAGGATGTTACTCTTTCTTTGGGAGGACTCTTGACTTCGTATAGAGTGAATACTCTTCCTTGAGCAATACCTTATGCAGATGGTGATGGCTTGCTTGCTTTACATAGTAGGGCTTTTTGTCTTCAATACTTCCTTGACCAATGCCTTATTAGGAGTTAAAATGCCAGTGTTGTTGCAGTAATCCCTTGCAAAGAGATGGGTCAATAATTTTGGTTATTTGTCACTTTTCTTTTGGCTTGTTTGGTTCCCATTGGTTCTTTCTCCCATAGATATTTGCTACTTAGATTTATGCAACACTTCCAACTGAATAACAAGTCACTTCATTCACATTTTATCTCGTTTTAATGAATTACATTACATGCCATTTTATTTATATTTTAGTATTTTTTACATACATACCACTTAATTCTTATTTAGTTACAAACCTAACATCTGAATTTTAATTTTTACATATATGCAACCTTACCTATCCCTGAAAAGGTATATTTTACATTTTTTTAAAAGTTAAAATAGTGGTATTTTTGTTGTGATTTGATAGATTTCGGTAGTATAAATTTAAAAGGTACAGTTTAGGTGCTAGATTTATAAATACAAAAAAATTAGGTGGTATTTATGTAAATGCAGCCATATTTTATTATGTGATGGCAAATTTTACAGAGCATTGTCTAGTAAACCAAAACTATTGTCATTATTGAACCAGAAAATTACAAGGGTTTGAATTTGATGTCGGTTCTTTTCTTAACTCTTAAATTAGAATTATAGAGATATAGTTTTTTCCACTCCACAAATATAAAATAAAAACTGGTAATAAATTTTTTTTTTTTAATCCTGAATGTGATTGACATGTGCGATATGGAATAATGCGTCTGTCTTCCTGAGGTTATTGATTACTATTGAGCCTTAACTCTAGAACTTCCAAATATTTTCGCAAGTTTGCTTTTGTGTCTTACCTTGGACTATGAGATAAAGTGGTTATCATCCTATATTAGTGTCCACAATCATTAGGCGGGCATTATGCAATGAGTAGTTAAAGAGAGATGTAGCGGAGAGAAAGTGATGGGGGAGAGAATGTGTGGATGCTTTTATCATGGAGCTTGCATCGAAGTCTCTTTCCATTAAATCTTACCTGGCAATGGTAAGAGCAACCAAAAACGAATGGGAATCACAAACCGTAAGAGGAATACGATCCCAATCTGACTGATGAATCTAATGCCAGTTGTAAGGAGGGGGCCCAAGTTAAACCCATTGCACTAGTAGATTGATATCTATCAACCCAAAAGTTTAAGCTGGATGGGCCAATAATAGTATGTTAGGAATTCAACTCTTATTTCAGTTGAAAAGTGGGACTATTCAACTTCACGGTAGACAATAGAAGATCAAGATTACATACATTTTAAAATTTGTGTATCAGGTCCAATCTATCTTCTTTTAGATATCAATGAAAAGTAGAACTGCCCTGAGCGATCCTTCTTTCAGTTCGTCTTTGTATAACTTCGTCTGAAACTACCTGCTTGATGATATGACAAGATGCGTGATCTACAGTTCTAGTTGTTGCAAAATCTTGTCTAACATTAATTGCATCAATTTTCCATTTTACTACCAGAAATCAAGATGGTGTCACTTCTATGGAATACCCATTTAATCTGCTGTAGAAACAAATTATAAAGTATTCCAGACGAAGCTAAAACTTAATTGTACTAAACGTGCAAGTGTCTTCAGGGTGCAAGAAATGAAATTTTTGCCATGCAACCAGCACCCATACAGGTTTCATACATGGGGTTCCCTGGCACAACTGGTGCAACTTACATTGATTACTTGGTTGCTGATGAGGTCTCATCGCAGTACTTTTTTGACCAGTTATTATCTCTGAATTGAAAATTTCTGCCTGCTAATACTTAAAAAAATCTCTCATGCAGTTTGTTTCCCCTACTTGGTTTTCACATATATACTCAGAGAAGCTTGTCCATCTTCCTCATTGCTACTTCGTGAATGATTACAAGCAGGTAAATGTTACCTAGCTTTTATAATGTTGTTTTGTTATTTTGAACATGTTCAACTCTTAGCCATATTTATTCATATTCAGAAAAACCGAGACGTTCTTGAACCCGTGTGCCGGCACAAACGGTCTGATTATGGTTTACCCGAAGACAAATTTCTTTTTGCATGCTTTAATCAACTTTACAAGATGGACCCCGAAATATTCAATACATGGTAAGCTGTTTTACTTTCACCACATTTCCTTCACACGTGTTTTTCTAAGAATTGTTTTTTTAATATTTACCAACGTTTATTGCCCCCTATTTCAGGTGTAACATTTTGAAACGTGTTCCTGATAGTGCATTGTGGTTGCTTAGATTTCCAGCAGCTGGCGAGAAGAGATTGCTCGAGTGTAAGAAATCATTCCCATACCATACACTTCAAATAGATTGATGTTCTTTTAGTTATTATTATCATGCTAGTTATACGAGCGAGTTATACATGCACCACACAATTCCTATGCATTTCATATCTAACGCCTAAAATTTACTTTATGCATTTATATTACAAAATCTTTCATATCACATAAAAAATATCATTATTTTAACTTTTAAAATGTGAAATACACCTTTTCATGCATAGGTAAGGTATCATATATATAAAAATTGAAGTTATTGTTGTTAGATATGTAAATACATAGGAATTGAGTGATTGAAATGTATGTAAATCTTCCTTGTATTTTATATATTTTATCATAAAGAACTTAATCTATGTTGCCATTGCAGATGCTGAGAAACAAGGAGTTGGAAAAGATCAAATCATATTCACTGATGTTGCCATGAAAAATGAGCACATCAGGCGAAGTGCACTGGCTGACCTTTTTCTTGACACGTAAGATTATTTAAAATTAGCTCTAATGTGCAGTCTAATAAGGCAATTCTATTGATGGTATACATTGAATGCATAGACCTTTGTGCAACGCTCATACTACCGGCACTGATGTGCTTTGGGCTGGCCTTCCTATGGTGACTCTTCCCCTGGAGAAGATGGCCACCAGAGTTGCTGCTTCATTGTGTCTTGCCACTGGTGTTGGGGAGGAGATGATAGTTACCAGGTAAGTCCTATGTTCTTCATTTCAGTCCATGTATATTATTATTATTATTATTATTTTTCAATTTCATACATAACAATCAAGTCTCTTATATTTATAGAACTGATATCCCGCATCTCAAGTATGCAAATTCATCACAACATAATTACTTGTATTTTGTCAATCATGCACAAGAATACTTGATTTTGATATTCCGAAGAAATGATGCGGGTGTTGGTTTTGTAAATAAGGAAGATTTGTGCAGAAATAGCCCTTTGACATTAAAGGTTTTATTATTATTTTTTTTTAATTCTTTTGGTGTTTTTTTATATTCAGCATGAAAGAGTATGAAGAGAAGGCTGTGTACTTAGCTTTGAATCCACCAAAGCTCCATGCACTGAGAAATAAACTCAAGGCTGCGCGGTTAACTTGCCCCCTATTTGACACTGCAAGATGGGTAAGAATATCACAAGTCCAATATTTTTTTATCACCATGAAAATGTATGGCGTATTTACATTACATACCACACAATTTTTATGAATGTGAATGTCTAACACCTAAACTTTAATATTTACATTCATAACACTCAAATCTGTAACATCACATCTAAAATACAACTTTTAACCAACTTTTTAGAAGTCAAATGCATATTTTCATGCATAGGTTTGTAACACCAAGGCAATATAAATGCAAATATGAAACTTTGTGTTTGATATCTAAATCCATAAGAATTGTGTGGTTCAATGTAAATTTTCCTAATTATATATATATATATATATATATGATAACCTATGCCTCTATTGCAGGTAAGAAACTTAGAGCGATCCTATTTCAGAATGTGGAATTTGCGCTGCTCTGGAAATCAACCACAACACTTCAAGGTGACAGAAGATGACATTGAGTTCCCTTATGACCGTTAGGGTTAGGTTTTGTGTACATATAATAGGTGAAAGAGCTTTCGACAATCGAAAAGAGGAATATTATTTCAAATCATATTGGTTTTCCAGATGATGCATTGGGATGTATTTTATTAGAATTTCCCCGGTGTGGAGGGAAGCCAAGAGATTTATTTAGAGAGGGTTTGAGTTTATGGTTTTAGGGTTTTACTTTGTAGCTTTTCTTTTTGTATCCAATATACTTATACCTGCACCTATTGTGACTTCCACTTTTACTATGAGATATTAGTCGCGCAATGCAGTTCATATGAGTTGTTGCCTTCATATTTAGTTGAAATGGGTTGAATTGATGTCTTCATAGTTCGGAATGACATAATGTAAGGCATTCATATACATATCTAACTAATAAACATTGTTATTATGTTTCTATCCCCAAATCCTTTAAATTACATAAAATATTCCATCACATCTACAAAGGGTGACATTGTTTTTTAAAGTTAGAAGTAGGAAAACTAAAATATCCTTAGAACTAATCAAATAGAAATATTAAAATAATAAGAAATTCTAAGAAAATTACCATATATATATGTATAAATAAAAAATGTGAATACATTATTAAAAAGATATGTAATTGAAGTGGGAGCACAAAAACCTCGAGTCAATGGCCCCTACTAAAATCAAAACGGATGTTAGGAGACTTGCAATGATTCTAAAATATATAACAACAGGGGTTCATCATTATCATCTTCGCCAAATAAAAAGAAAATGCTTTCTAAAATTCAAATGGTTGAAGACATCACCTTCTAATGCTGTACATATAAAAAAGATAAAGCAAAATATAATATGCAAGAGATTTAAAGGGCTATATCTCCCAATAGAACAATGCCATCATCCTTCTTCCAAAACTAAAATTTCAAGTCACCAATTCCGCAATGATGGATATAAATACTAAAAGCTTGTAAGCATGATGGTTATTAATATTGTTCTGCACTTCAAATCAAAAGATAAATAATTGAAGATTTTATCTTTTCAGATCAGATGCAATCATTGAATACCATGATTTTATGCTTTGAAGTCCAACCATAAAGTACCATCGCTTCAATGGTCGTCTTGCAAGTTACGATACCAACATCAAAAGCATTCGATACGACGACAATAATGATTGAATCACTCATCATGCATCCCATCGATAGAGCTCTTCATTACAATAATTGATGACAAGCACAACGCTTATAAAAACCATAAAATGATCACAATGACATTATCAGACATATCACATATGAACTGAAGCAGTCACTACAGCAGTAGAAAAGGATGCAAATTTACGAAGTTATCCTTCATCTCATAATAATATTGTACAGCACACCTCACACCACATTAACACAAGCTCCCTCCTAAACAGTTTCAAAGAAAAAAAAAGACAAAAAAAAAAAAAAAAAACAAAATTCCTACAGACAAAATTCCTTCAGAAAAACACTAGAAAACAGGGAAAAGGATTAAAATATTCTAATTTCCCCATATTTTCTACTTGTTTTCCGTGTGATGGCTTATGTACATAAAAGAATAAATTCAAGTAACAACAAAGCTCTCTCTATATTTGATGCATTCCTCGAACATGTACGCTTACAATTGTAGCATAAACCATTGTTTCTTTCCCGTTATTACTTCATCAATTGCTCTCTTATTGTCTCATGGGCTGTGAATGTGGTATAGATCCACCACATCCGAACTGCCAAAGTTTGCAAACTCAGACCTTTGTAGGTGATTTTGGTTTGACTCCAATCTTTCAAAACTCTTTTTTATATTATTGGACGAGTCCTTGTTCGAGTAGAAATGGCGTACGTTGACCCGGTGGTATTTGGACTTTGTAGAATAGCTGCCAGTCACTTTAACTAGAAGCACCAACTCCTTATCTCTGGTGTCCTCACACCAACAATTATGTGGCATTCCATCAACAAACTCCTCCTGGGTATAGAAGTTTTCATAATGGACTGCGACTTCCATAATCTGCCCAGGCTTGATAATTCCGGCAGCAGGCTCAACCTAATTTAAAAATAAATAAATATAAAAATAATGCATTGAACCAACAAAAAAAAAATACATGAGATAAAAGTACACATCTATTCGCTCAAAACTATGGGGACTCGCTCATCGAGAGCATTTAGGGAATTACTCACCAAGAACAAGATTCGCCCATTAGATTGCAGTCACACAAAAAAGCATAACTTCTTATTACTTCGCCCTTAAGCTCTCTCTAAGACCCTCCCATATCCATGCCTTTTAAGCTTCGAAAAAAAGTCTTAGCCAACTAAATCAGGAAGATTAGTTTATGGTTGAGAAAAGATTAGTAGGTGGCAGGTGATGGTTGTGAAGAACAATTAATTTCCTATGAATTCTTCATAAGCATGTATAAGAAATTCACTTGATTTCATTCCAAATTTGGATTAAAATTGTTGGGAATTGTATATAGTTTAGGGTACTTTGTAAAAAGGAAATGTAGAAGAAGTCAAGGGTTTTATTTGTAAAGAAAGTAGTAAAGCTCTATATAAGTCCAATTCTACCATTGAATAGATGAAGATTGTTGAGCAAATTCTTTCAATTTGGTATTAGAGTCCAACCCAAGCCCTTTAGTACGACGGGACGGCCTAGAGCATCCGCCGCATCTAAGAACGCGATGAATAGAGCATCGCGGATGGAGAGACCATAGTGTCCCGTGCGATACTGTCGCAGGCGGAAAGATCAGGGAGTTCCAGCTTGTTAAGAAGAAGGATTTGTGATAGAAGCATGCTGGGAAAGGCATCAAAAGAACCGACAACTTGCGAAGGAGAAAAAGAGTTTGTAACAAAACTCGAGAAGGAGAGTTATTGACGGGAACTTTCTGGGGGAAGGCATACACATGATCATGATTTGTAATCGTGGTCTCCAGAGATTTCAGTGCGGCTTCTGAGACCACGATGTGGACATTCCTTAAAGAAGCGAAGATTAAATTTTTGTTTGATTTAGACTTGGATTCTTGTGTCAAGGATGCCAGGAGACGAAGACAGTGCGAGAGGTAAATGATTGGAGATTTTGAGAAAGCTATACCTTGAAGTTTTGAAGATCTTGGTCGGGCTTATGCAGGAAGTTAGCATCTCGACGGGAGCCACCACCTCAGCACGTGCTCCGATGCAGTTGAAGCAAGATCTCCCCCCTGTGGATTTGAAGCTCAATGGACCGACCACATATCTAAAGTTGGTTGTGTCAAATTGAGGCTGAGTAGGGAAGAGATTGGAAAGATACATGACGAGGATCGAGCAAAAGAGTGACAGTGCTGAGAGGGATGAGTGGAGAATACACGTCTTTCTTTACACTTGGCTACTCAACTCGATGATTCCATTGTTTGACTCATCAGTGGATGACATTAAAAAGATGAGCGACATTTGGGCGAAGCTAAAAGAGATCTACGCTGGAACTGAGAACCACATGAGGGCATTTTGGATTCAACGTTTGATAAGGACAGTGGTTTAGGGTGATAGATCTATTCAGAAGTACTCCATAGATCTGGAGTGGTTGTGGCAAGATCTTGATCACTTCTAACCTATGTCGAGTTGTAGTGATCTGGGATGCAAGAAGGGGAGATCCTCGCACAGATGAGTATTATGTAGTTTTTGACTCATCTTAACCAGGCCTTTGATCAAAGGAGATCAATCCTCTTAGCCCAGGCAACGATTCATTCATTGAATGAGGCTATCTCAGTAATGATACAAGAGGAGAGGCGCATGAGGCTATACTCTGAGCGGAGTGAACTTCAAGACATGCGATCAACTTTAGCCGTCTCGAGTGAAGATAGGTGCTCAAGGGGAGACCAACATGAGCTACAATTGTAGAGAAGTGAGACATTTGAGCAAGTTTTGTCCAAAGCCACCCAAGGAGAAAGAGATTGCCGAACGTGGACAATTTAGAGGCCGTGGTCGCAATCATGGGGGCCGAAGAGGTAGAAGAGGGGGCTACCAGAAAAATCTGACGATAACGGAGAATGAGGGAGAGAAAGAGGTGGTCTTTATTGATGAGTATCAAGGGCTTCTAGAGTAGTTGAAGGGGAAGCATAAAGCAGCATGTGATGTGACTGAGAATGCATCTGTCTTATCTTCATCAAAGGGGAACACTGTTACTTAAGCTCACTCAGCCAAAGGTACTCATCATACACTTATTCTTGCCTTTATATCCACCATAAGATAACTAGAATGAATAGTAAATTCTGGTGCATTTCGACATGAGACACGTAAGGTTAGTGAGTTTGTTTCCTATACTCATTTAAAAGTTCCAGAGAACATTCAGACAACTGATAGTACAACACAGCCTGTGGCTGGTAAGGGTACAGTGAGATGTATCAATTCTACGACTTTGCCCAATGTTTTGCATGTTTCTTCCATTCCAACGAATTTTTTATCCATTAGTGTCATTATTCTCCAACTAAAGTGTGTTCTCTCCTTTGATATTCCTAAGATGATCTTTCAAGAGAAGGTGACTGGCCAGAAATTGAGACTGACACGTGACATAGTGGATTTTGGTATTTGGATAGAGAGGAGATGGACTCAACATAGATATCCATGGTAGAACGGGCTGGATTGGGAAGATCTAAGAGAAATGTGGAGGATGTGTTGTTGTTACATCACAGACGCATGCGAAACTCTTCATTTAGTCTGTTGAACAGTTTGTATTCAGTTTTGTATGAGCAGACAAATGAACAAAACTTTTGTGTAATGCATGTGAGTTAGGTAAGCATACTAGGAACTCTTATGTTAGTTCTAGTAATAGAAATTCTTGTATTTTTGATTTGGTGCATTCTGATGCATGGGGACCTTTTTCTACAACTTTGATGAATGAATATAGATATTTTGTGACTTTTATTGATTTATTTTCCTGTGTTAGTTATATCTGATGAAAAACAAAAGTGACGTGCTTGTCAACTTTAAAGATTTTCACAGGGTAATTTAAAGTCAATACGGTGTAAAAGTGAAGATATTGAGGTCTAATAATGAGACAAAATATAACAATAAGGTGTTTGGGGAGTACATGTCTGCCCAGGGGATACAACATCATACAACTTATTCATACACACCGACATAAAATGAAATAGCATAAATGAAAAATAAATAACTTCTAGAGGTAGCTTGAAGCATGATGATCTCGACGAATGTCCCAAAACACCCGTAGGAGAATACCTTCAAGAGTGTTGGATGACAATCTCCTTATGAGTTTTTGCAAGGAGATAATGATAAAATCATCCCATTGAAGGTATTTGGTTGTGTATGTTTCATGAAGAACAATAGTATTAATAGATAAGTTGGATCTCAGAGCTGTGAAGTGTGTTTTTATGGGTTATTCTGCTACTCCAGAAGAGTGAAGTTTGTTGGATCGTAATAGAGAAGAGACTGTTCGTGAGCATGAATGTGACTTTTAGAGAATTAAAACTGCACTACTCATTGGATGTGACCTCACCCTGTGGTGACTCGTCAGGTAATGGAGGTATGAGGTGAGAAAGGGAGAGTAATGAAGGTGAGAGATTGATACATGTGAGAACGATGTCTTGTCCCATTGTGTGGGAAGGATTGAATGCTGAAGAGCCAATTCTTGAGAAAAAAATGAGCCCAAAGGCGGTGGTATTCAAGCTCAAGAAGAGATGAGGGTGTATAGAAGGAGGCAAAATGAGACAACAGAGCCTACGGTGCAACTTGTGCCAACAAGTCCCGTGTCCCGGTCTACCCGACTCTTGAGGCACCTGCACCATCCACCTCATAATCCGATTACAAAGGTGATATGATTCCTCTCTCTTCTTCTCCCACTCACATGACTTTAAGGAGGACCTCTCGCAGGAATACGGGTCATCCTCCTGATCATTATTTGTTTTGGTTTCTCACATTACATTTACTCAATTTGTCTCATACTCTAACATATCACATGTATAAAAAACATTCATTGTATCTTTGGACACTATCGCTATACCCAAGTATTGATGGATAGTTCAAGAGGATCTCAAGTGGAAGGTTGTCATGTTGGAGGAACACAGTTCACTCGATAAGAACAAGACATAGGAGCTCGTGTTGCTGCCAACAGGAAAAAAGACAGTCAGATGTAAATGAGTCTTCACAGTGAAACAAACCTCAGAAGAAAAGATCGATCGCTACAAAGCACGTTGGTGGCGAAAGAGTATAGTCCGACGTACGACATTGACTATGATGAGACATTTGCATCAGTGATAAAGATGAGCACACTCAGGACACTCGTCTCTCTGGCTGTGAATAGTGGGTAAATGTTACACCAACTGGATGTGAAGAATGCATTTCTTCATGGGGATCTACTAGAGGTGTACATGGAGATACCCCCAGGATTTGACACAGACCAAATAGTGGTAAAGATATGTAGGTTGAAGAAGTCACTGTACAGTTTAAAACAGTCTCATCGAGCTTGGTTTGACAGGTTCGACAGAGCAATGAGAGACATGGGCTATCGACACATCAATGTTGACCACACAACATTCTTTCGACGACATGACAACCACGTTACTATTCTTGCTATGTATGTGGATGGTATGATTGTCACCGATGATGATGAGGGAGAGATTGCTTAGCTGAAGGCAAGTTTGGGAAAAGAGTTGAGGTGAAGGAGCAAGGACAACTTAGATACTTCCTTAGGATTGAGGTGGCTCATGAAGCAGAAAGGATTATTCTATCTCTGAGGAAGTATATGCTAGACTTGCTCACAGAGACAAAAATGTTGGGATGCAAGCATGCATTTACACCAATTGATCAAAAGAGAAAGTTGAGCGAAGAGGTAGGAGAGCCAGTTGATCGTGAGAGGTACCAGAGATTGGTAGGCCGCTCATCTATCTGAGTCACACTCGTCCCGACATATCATTTGCAATAAGCGCGGTGAGTCGCTAAATGCATGATCTGAGGAAGGGCCACATGGATGCAGTGTATCGGATTCTGAAATACCTGAAAAGTGCATTAGGGAAGGGTTTGATTTTTAGAAAAAATGGGCATTGAGGCATTGAGGGCTACTATCACTATGATTGAGCTAACTGTGCTGATAACAAGAGGTTCACATCAGAACACTGCATGTTCATAGGGGGTAATTTGGTCTCTTTGAAAAGCAAGAGGCAGTCATAGTTGCGAGGTCGAAGACAGAGCTAGAGTACAGGGCCATGGCCATGGGAGTTGCAGAGATGCTAGGGCTGATAACTCTATTGGTAGAGCTCAAGGTGGACCAAGGAGCTCTACTTAAGTTGTGGTGCGACAACAAGCAACAATCAACATTGCCAACAACCCGGTGCAGCACGACAAAACCAAGCATGTGGAGATTGATAGGTTCTTCATCAAGGAGAAACTGAATAGTGGACTACTGAAGATAAGTCATGTAGCTACTAGAGAGCAAGTAGCTAACTGCCTCACCAAGGGACTCAGCTCATTAGATTATCCAGTTTGTGTAACAAGATGGAATTAGTGGATTTCTTTTGCCTGTCTTGAGGGGGAGTGTTGAGACTAGTATATAGTTTAGGGTCCTATTCGTAAATATGAAATATAGAATAAGTCAAGGGTTTTATTTGTAAAGAAAGTTGTAAGACTCTATAGAAGCCCCGTTCTTCCATGAATAGATGAAGATTTTTGAGCAAATTCTTTCAATTAAATTCTTCATGAGATTCATAGTAGTATTACTTGTAGCTTAGAAAACAATTTTTTTTTTCTTCCATTTATATGACAATTAGGTTAGCAATATTAACAACAGCCGTGTTTTGGCACTAGCCAGCTACAACTGAAACTCTTCCATACCTAAGCAAACACTGGGAACTAATATAGCGAAATTGAAGTTCCTTAAAATCCCACAGTTTATTAGCTTCCTCAGGTTTGTAAACATTCCTTAACAGGACATTTGGCGATAATCAAAGTATCAAAAGAGCTCACTTTATTGCTACCAAAGCATTAACTCCGCAGGGCACCAGATGAAAAATATAAGAGCGCTTGAATTTAAGAAATGAAATTATCAAAATGTAAAACTGCCAGATTTGTAGTAGAGAACGGGACACACAAGAACATACCTGTAGCCAATTAGGAAAGCCAAAGGAACCCTTTGCACAAATTTTGGAGGGACTTCCATCATCCTTTATAGTAAATTGACCTTCACAGATGATCTCATAACAAGCATCATGCTCATCACATTTGTTAGTTATTCGAAGAATGGAAATATCCTGATTTTGTAATATGATATTGTTTGTGCTGACAATTGTTTCTGGAACAATGCTATATTCCTTAAGCAAAGACCTTATCTTCTCATGTGTTGCAAGTAACTTTCCAAACTCTTGCCTCCATGCAATCCAGTCGATATGCGCAATTTCAAGACTAAATATGCATCGAACAGGTTTGTGGTCACTGTCTATCACATCCATGCATGATTCGTAGCTGGTAAGACCAATTTTAACAATGTATAAGTTATAGGATATATAAAGAGAGTTTTACGCTATGAAAAAGATAGAGAAGTGTCAAAATAATTCCCTAACTCTTTGTAGATCACTTTAGTCCTGAAGTCTATACAAGTGCCCGTTTAGTCCCCAAACTCTTCTAACATGGGTTGAGAAAATCCCCCATGTTGAACTACTTCAGCCCAATTTAAAGAATCCGGGACTAAGTTTGACATTTTTATACGCTCTGGGACTAAAATGACAGTCCGGATTATTTTGGCACTTTAGTCGGAATATATTGAATGAAACATACAGTGAAATTGAAGAGACAACAGGGCATTCCAACGAGCATTCAGCCACAGAGATTGAACGACTATCACGGTATAAAATTCTGTCACACCATGCAGGAATGCGTTTCTTCTCACTAGAATCATACGCTGCAAAGCAACATGCATAACAGTTTAGTTTTGTTTGAGCAAATAGAATGAACTGTAGGCCAACAAATGTCTGTTGTATCGAGATTTTACTTACCCGAAAGGCCAGGTTGGTGCCTTTCAAACTTGTAGGTGGGAGGAAATCTGATTTGAGCCTCCCGCATTCCTTGAAAAACTTTGCCTGCTTTCATTTCTTCTCGAAGCTGGTCTTTCTCCCTTAGCCAATCAAAGCACCTTTGAGAAATCATGTCTCTTGCTTCATCATAAGTTACGCCAAAGAGCCTATAATTGAAATCACCCAGAAATATCACCATATCCGCTTCAGATAATTCAGGTTTCTCGTCATCTTGAGAGGCTCCTGACTGAGACTAAAAATATAAGAAAATATACTATCTTAGCTATGACTGGGAAAGGAATCATCAGAAAACAGACTTATAAAAGATCCAAGACAATAACATACATTCCCTCCACGATGTACTTGTACTGACGTAGCACCAGCTGCATCAAACGAAATAAATGTGTGAATTAAGACCTTTAGAACATGTGGATTTACTCGAGTAAAGTGCATTTCATGTAAAATTCGTTGGTAGTACTATAATGTTTAAGAAAACAAACCTGATCCAGAATTTTGTTCTACAGGAGGCCGGGTGAAGGACATATTTCTATAAACATGATTGAAATCAGAATTTCTCTTGCTGACTGCTTCCAAATGAGCAGCAAAATGACAGCTGACAAAGCATAGAACTCTGTCAAGAACACGCATTCTCAATCCAACAGCACCCTGAAACAAAGTTATGTATTAACGCAAGTACATAAGGATATAAAACATTCATAGAAAGAAAAAGAGAGAGAATCTAAGACAGTAAAGAAACATAAGTCTCGTAAAAACAATTGACCAACTGCAGTCGGCAGAGGAATGCTGATTAATAAATATATACAGCTTAGCAATGCATTCGCAAAAGTAAAGCTGAATTACAAGTTCTCATTACAGAGATTGCCCATATGATAGTTAATGCAGGCTAACGGTGGGGAGAAGAAGAAAGACGTTTCAAAGCTTTCATGATCTCTTGAAACTCTAGCTATTCCATTGAATAGAATCTATATACTTTATCTTTTTTGCTTTAAAAGTGAAAATATATGAGAGGACTTAATTTTATTGATGAAAAGAGGGGCATAAATACCCATTAAATTTCTTACTGGTAAGGAAAACAATAAAAACAAAATACAGTAGAAAAGAAAATGAATAATAACAAAATATAAGAAACAACCAATCTCTCTAATTTACGGAGAGAAATAAATAGAGATTTCCAAGACCCCTCATATAATTTATATCCCTCTAAATATAGAGTTATAACAAATATGAAATATAATCATTAGTATTTTCGAGATCTTTCAACACTCTCCCTCAAGTTGGGTTGTACAGATTGTACATGCCTAACTTGTTACATAATTCTTCAAAGTTGATTCTTGGGAGAGGCGCTTAGTGAGGATATCTGCTGTTTGGTGTCAGGAAGAAATGTATGCAAGTTCAACAACTCCTCTCTCAATATTTTCTGAGATAAAGTGTTGATCGATCTCGATGTGTTTCGTTCTGTCATAGTGTACTAGATTCTTTGCAATGCTGATGGCTGTCTGGTTGTCGCATTGTAGTTTGACAGTTTTTTCAGTTAGCATTCCGATTCGTTAGCATTCTGAGTTCGTTGAGTATTCTTCGACTCCACATTCCTTCACAGATCCCGAGTGGAAGAGCTCTGAATTCAGCTTCAGCGCAGCTTCTTGACACCACAGACTGCTTTTTTCTTCTTTAAGTGACTAGGTTTCCCCAGACATAAGTGCAATAGCCGAAAGTCGATCGTCGGTCCGAGACATCCCCTGCCCAGTCTGCATCTGAATACACTTCTATACATTGATCCTTATTCCTTTGAAACAGTAGCCCTTTGCCTAGAGTCATCTTGAGGTATCTCAAGATTCTGTAGATTGCATTCACTTATTCTTCCGTAGGGCTGTTCATGAATTGGCTAACAACACTAACAGCAAAACTAATGTCGGGCGTGTGTGTGAGAGATAGATGAGTCGCCCCACGAGTCGCTGATATCTCCCTCTATCCACATGTGTGCTATTTTTCTCAGTGTCGATCTTCTTGTAGGGATCCATTGGAGTATCGACGGGTTTGCAACCGAGCATACATGTTTCCTTCAACAGGTCCAATGTATATTTCCGTTGTGACACAAATATTCATCGGTTTGAACGAGCTAGTTCCATGCCAAGAAAGAACTTTGGGTTTCCAAGGCCTTTGATTCTGAATTCCTGAGTGAGAAGATTTGTCAAATTTGTGAGTTCTTCTTTGTGATTTCCAGTGAGGATGATATCATCGACGTATACGATTAAAATTGCAATCTTCTTTTCGGGAGAGGTTTTCACGAAGGGAGTGTGATCTGCTTGACATTGAGTATACCCGTGTTTTATCACTGATTTTGCAAATCATCGAACCATGCTCGGGGAAATTGTTTGAGGTCGTACAATGATTTTTGGAGTTTGCAGACTTTGGTGCTTGGAAATGATGCTTCTAGTCCGGGAGGTGCTTCCATGTAAACATCTTATTCCAAATCGCCATTTAGGAAAGCATTTTTCACGTCGAGTTGATGTAGCTGCTAGTCTTCATTTTCCGCAACTGAGAGAAGGATTCTGATGGTGTTAAGTTTGGCCACGGGGGCAAAGGTTTCTTGGTAATCAATACCGTATGACTGTGAAAAACCTTTTGCTACGAGACGTGTTTTTAATCTCTCAATTGTTCTCTTTTTAATCTCTCAATTGTACCATCTGCCTTGTATTTGACTTTGAAGATCCATTTGCAACCGATTGCTTTCTTTCCCTTTGCCAGGTCTGAAACAGTCAATATACCATTCTTTTGTAGGGCACTTACCTCCTCATTGATGGCCGCTTTCCACCTCGGTTGTTTGAGAGCTTCATCAATAGTGTTTGGGAATTGTGTATTGTTGAATGCAGTGACATGGGCTTGATAAGCTAAAGAGAGTCTTTCATATAACACAAAGTTAGAGATCAGATGCATCGTGTGTTCGTACTTGAGTGGAGGTCAGATGGACCTAACACCTTTCCTTAAAGCAATTAGAATGTCGGAGTCATCAATCATAGGTATAGTAAAATCATGTTCAAGTGTGTTCGTACCTGAGTAGATTTTTATAGAAGTTGGATCCAATTCTGAATTTTGGATTGGTGTTGGATGTCTTGGGTGATCTATGTGCGAGTTGGACATTTGAGGACTAGACAGAGACTGATTGTTAAGTACATTTTCACGTGAGTTGGATGATCCTGCTGAGGGAGATAATGAGTTCGGTTCAAGGGACGAGGATTTCGTGTGTGGTGGTATGAAATCATTGTCCCCCCCAAGACTAATATTCCTTTAAAGTCTCCCCCTGAATATTAGAATTAGGGTAGTAAGATTGATTTTCAAAGAAGGTGCATCCATACTGTTGTAGGTTTTTCTTGTGAGAGGACAGTAACACTTATACCCTTTTTGAAGAGGCGAGTAGCCGAGGAAAATACATTTACTAAATTTGGGGTAAAGTTTGCTGAGATTGTGTGAATGAATGTGAACAAAACAGGAGCAACCAAATACTTTGGTAGGTAGATTTTGGGTAATAGCCTTGGTGTGGGGAAACAATTTGAGAAGGAGTTCGACTGGACTTTGAAATTTGAGGGCCTGAGAAGGCATCTTGTTGGTGAGGTAGGCTGCAGTGGATACAACGTCACCCAAAAAAACCTTAGACACGTTAGAGGAAAACATGAGGCAGCGGGCCACCTCGAGAAGGTGGCGGTTCTTGCGTTTGGCGATCCCATTTTGTTGAGAAGTGTCGACACAAGAACTGAGATGGAGGATGTCTTTAGAGGAGAGATATCGAGGACAGAAGCGAAGTACTCCTTTGCATTATCAGCCTTGAGTGCCTGGATGGAGGTTTGAAATTGTGTTTGGAACATTAAGTAAAATTGTTCAAATATGTGACCGACTATAGATTTATCTTTCATAAGAAATAGCCACGTTAGTCGAGTGTGATCATCAATAAAAGAGACAAACCCTGAGTTCCGGTAAGGGTTGTAGCACGGGATGAGCCCCATATATTGCTGTGAATGAGTGCAAATGGCCGGGAAGAGGTGTAACCAACATGTGGAAATGACGTGCGAGTGTATTTGACAAGTTGACAAAATTCACATTGAAAAGAACAACTTTATTGATAGATAAATTTGAAAATAGTTTTGCAAGATATATAAAATTTGGATGACCGAGACGAAAATGCCATAACATGATCAGAATCTTTATTGACACTAGAATTGATGACAAAATGATGGGTAGACAAATGTCCGCAGTGAGATCGTAGTGGTGAAGCATAACTCAACATTTCCAATCGTCGTCCCCGAGTCTGCATCCTGAAATTCACACGTGGTACGGAAAAATTTAACAATACACCTCAGATCACTAGTCAACTTTCCGATGGATATTAAATTGTAATTTAAAGTAGGAACATGAAACACAGATCAGAGTAGAATATTTTGGGTGATGCGCACGGAGCCAAAGCCAGTGACTTTGGAGACATAGCCATCGGCAACGCGGATGGTGGAGTTGTCTCCGCACGACATATAGTCATGGAGAAGGGAGACATCACTAGTCATGTGATGAGAAACATCAGAATCGATGATCCACTGACCGAGGGATCCTTGATGGACTGTGAAGGCATGGTAGAACGTAACTTCATGCGCGAGCAGGCCGGTGATGGGGTCGGGAACAGCCAGATCAGGTGGTTTGTCGATCAGTTTGTGCAGCAAATCTAGTTGCTATTTGTTGAATGGTTGGGCGCTGGTGCAGGAAGGTTATCGGCAGCGACGACGCTGTTGACATGGGAGCACGATCAGGCCGAGGCTTCCAATCGGCCGGCTTTCCATGAAGCACCCAACACAACACGCGTCTTTATTATGGTCTGGTTTGCGGCAGTGGTTGCACCAGGGACGACCCTTGCGTGATGGGTTGTCGCTGTGTCAAGACAGAGGAACCCAAGCTGCAAGGGCAAAGGCGTCAACGGAGAGATTGAGCGAGGTGGAGATAGACCCAAGCATGAATTTATGACGGATTTCTTTGCGGCGAACCTCAGAGAATGCCTCGCGAATGCTCAGTAGTGGTTTGGAGCCTAATACACGAGAGCGGACATGATCGAGAGAGTTGTTGAGGCCGAGAAGGAATTTGAATATCTTTTTTTACTTTATGATCTGACGGTATAAGTTGGAGTTCGGAGTGCATGACCAGGCATGGAGACTTCATACATGTTTCATACATGTCAACCTGCTGCTAGTAACGTGAGAGGGCATCAAAATACTGAGTCACAGATTGATCACCTTGGCGAATATCGTGGAAGATTGACTCAATCTCAAAGAGCTTAGATGTGTTCTCCGAGTGAGAGTATGTCTCTCGAGCAACATCCCAAATACTCTTGGCCGTGTCGTAGAGAAGAAAATTTTTGCCGATGTCATTGGTCATGAAATTGATTAACCACTACATGACCATATGGTTTTATGCATTCCATGTCTAGAATTTTGGGTCATCATTGGTCGGAGCGACGACATCACTGATGATATAGTCGTCCTTGCCTCTGCCGCAGATAAACATCATGACGGATTGAGACCACTAGAGGTAGAGAGGTAGTTCTGGCCGTTGATCTGGCCGTTGAGTTTGTGACCAATGATGATGGATGAAGTGCCATCGATTCCGGTTGGAATAGAGACAGATGAAACGGAGGATATTTCTTGGGAGGAAGAAGAAGTCATGCCGAAGAAGATTAGTATGACTTTGATACCATGAATATATATGAGAGGACTTAATTTTATTGATGAAAAGAGAGGTATAAATACCCATTACAGGACTTACTGATATGGAAAATAATAAAAACAGAATACAGTAGAAAAAGAATGAATAATAACAAAATATAAACAACAATTAATCTCTCTAATTTAAGGAGAGAAATAAATAGAGATTCCCAAGATCTCTCATATAATTTATTTCCCTCTAAATATAGAGTTATAATAAATATGAAATATAATCATTAGTATTTTCGAGATCTTTCAACAAAAAACTTTCTTGTTCTCTCAAAATTCCAATCACTGAAATGGCTAAATTAAAAAAAAATCAGAAAAATTCAGACTGAATTTCTACTAACTCTGGTGCGCTTACCCTTTTTTATACCTATATGACTTGACTTGCTCGAATCATTTACCATCATCATCATCATTATTCTTATCCCAACTGAGGGTAATTGTAGATTTTTTTTGGCGAGAAAATGCATGCTTATATCCTTCTCAGCTCCTACAACTTTCATTTAAATTCATTGTATCAAATCTTTGTCAACTCTGTATGTGTTCATAAATCTCACCCAAGTCCCTATCTACTACAAACCATCTCTTAATAAATTGAGTGGCAATTCTCATGCACACTAGTTTCAGAAAGAATGGTTTCTAGCATTTTTTTTTCTAGACCCTCTGTTTTTTTTTGCAATACATTCTTTTCACATCTAAAATAATATTGGTAAGTATAACAACATGATCTTTGTATGTATAATTACTTATTATTGACATTATTGCCAGGTAAAGACATAAAAGTTATGCAGAATCTAAGGATACCTTGTTTCCTATTGTTCGCCCAAAACCACAAGCTACAGCTGCAGCATCAACATCACCAACATATGGTCTAAGGCTTTTCCTGACCCTTAAAGAGTAGAAAGGAACAACAAGACATTAGGGGATAAACAAATAAATAAATACACACACACATGCAGACAGATATTATATATATATATATATATATATAGAATTATAGAAATAACAACTTTAGATAAAACAAAATACCATGCAGCAATGAGTAACCCAGCAAGCTGCCTGGAGCCAACACGTTCAAAAGATGTTCCTTCATCTAAGGTCTTACCAATAGTATCCAACCACCATTGCCCGTTATTACTCCCCTCAAGTCCGACCTATAACCATTGAAAGGATGTAAGTGCAAGAAACCAACTGAATTTACACATACTACCTTAAGTAACAAGGCTCAATTCGAAAGTTGAAATTATAAAATAAAGGTTTTATTAACAAATGAAAAGAATCAGGGGCATCTATAAACCTCCAATATATCTATGGAACTGCCATTTCCTATCACAAAAGATAAATACTAAAACTCCTTGGTTATAAACTATAATTAAATCTAGCATGCTTTGAGTATTTTGAAACGGACTAAATAATGCATAATTTTGACACACTAAAATATTGAAAATAAGAAAATTAAAGAAGCTGAGGTCATTGTTTGAGGTTACAGTCTACTATGTCTGATCCCTAATAAGAATGCACTTCACATTAAAAAAAAGATTAGTCAGATTATATTTCATATATGATGAAAGAAAATTTGTGATAATATATCGACGAATACATTTTTTTTTTTTTTTGCAAAAACAAATCTCCCAGTAATTACTTGTTAGTTCATGTCCTGAGGAAGTTGCAGCGGCAATTGTATAACATAATTTGAGATAATTACAGTTTCACGGAAGAATAGAGCAGCTAAAACAAAAAATAACCAGAGTTGGCCAAAACTTTACAATATGAGTACCACTAATAAAAAACAAGGCTTTATGGTAAATATGAAAAACAATAAGTACACGTGTATATTCTTTACATGTGTAAAAGTAAATTCAGATGCAGCTGTGCTTATTCCATAAGATTATGATAATCAGAAATTTTCTCAACTTCGAAACAGCAAAAAACTGAAATACAAGCATATCAACCTAGAAGAGAGAAAGAGAGAGACAGGAAAAAAAAAACGAAACTTGTATCTAGATCAAAAGTATACCAAAAATAACAAAAAAAAGTGTTTTCAAAATGTCACAAGGAGATGGCATGCAAAATATGCCTCAAAGTATCAAAAGATCCTTAGCCATTAAAAGATAACATGAAGCACATGTCTATGCAAAATAGGCCATCCCTTAGTGTCATTTGAGGTCAATAATAAGCAAATTTGGGCTAAAGAAGCCAAAGAATATTCACAGAGAAAAATAACAAGACAACCCAACAAAAATAAAAATAAAAAATAAAATTATTTATATTGAAACTAAAAGTTCCCCAAACTCTTTAAATGAGGACTGCAACAGTCCTACTGAGAGACCATTTTGATCCTTATTTAAAAAATACAGGATTAAATTAGCCTTTTAGATAGTCAGAGAGTGGGGGTGGGGGCACAACTTAATCCCTTTCTTAAACCTAATATTACGAATAAATTCTGTTTTGCTAATAGACCACGCCAGTTTAACATCTGAAATAATTAAAACCAATTGAACATACAATCAAATATAAGTGATCAACAAAAAAATAATGAGTATTTAAACATATCATAAAAAATAGAACAAAATTTTAACTTATTTTTCTCACAAAAGAAAATAGGAATTAAATCAAATATCCAAAATACCCATCAATACCTTTAAATATTATAAATAATTTAGGTAAAACATTAAAGATTTGTTTCAAAATAGAAATTTGACATTTTTTATGTATTAGAACCAGATTAGCTCCAAACCCAGGGATGGAAGCTAACAAATATGCACATGAATTTTTCATTCATTTCTATCGTGTGTTATCATAGGTGTCAAACATATTCTTGACAAACCATTTTAAACAGCTTCTTTCCATATAGAGTTAGGTCTTGATCAGATCGAATACTTATATGCTTGATTTTCCACCAAATAGTCATATCAATCCTATATTCAATAGGAAAGATCTATCACATATCAAGGCATATTTGAGCCCAGGAGTGTTTGTTTCTAAAAAAGGTCATTCCAATTTATATTTTGTCGTATGACTCTTGAAATTGATGTTGGCTTGCCTCGTGATCATGATATATGGTTTATATCTATGGATAACCACCATTGATGATATTTGGATCATGCGTGATGAGTTTATTCATGTCTCCTAGAATTTTTAAAGGACTACATGAACTTAAATTCCCCATGGCATAGTTTTGCTCACTTTGAGATAATTGATGCACCGTACAATTCGTCAGCAGTATCATTACCCCATCAGATATCATCATATTATATTATGAACTAGTTGGTAGTAGCTTAGAATTATGTAATCGAAATATAGTCATTCTTCTATTTGTTATGTCATTTATGTCTTTTATTGTGTTCTGCATCTGCTTTCATTCTATGATAAGTGTATGAGATAATAAATAATTGTTCAGGTAATTTTAACTTATTATAGGTCAGATAATTGATGAATACAATCTTAGCATCTTTTTTATTTTCTTCCATCCTTTCAAGGTTTCAATGAGTTCTGTGATACCTCCCCACCTGCAGTGAGAATTTAGAAGTTTGTGAGAGATAACCCAGGCTGTTTTCTCCTAGGTAAACTTCCTCCTTACAAGCTTCACATCCCTTCTCTAATTTTCTAAAAAACTCTGGCCAATGTCCAACACTCTTTGTACATAAACTGATACAAAACCCCTTTCCACATTCTTCCAAATCAAAACTCGGTTAACAGGAATGAATTAAGGATTCATATGCGATCCAAATAATAAAGCAAAATTTGATTATATAACAATAATAAACTAAATCTCAAAGAACACAAAAGAAAAAAAAAACCAAAAACGATAGCTTTTATTTTATGACTACATTCCTCTACGCTAATAAACAATAAAGCAAAATATGTTGCGTAAGGATGTAGCATAAAAACTTACAGTCTCTTTCGCAGCAGCCATTGCAAGAAAGCCGGCACCCATTTCAACTTCTTGAAGGCCAACAACAACTAATCCAACTTCTGTCGCAGCGCTGCCAAGCCATGAAATAAGAGAATCATGAGATGCTCTTTCTTGTCCAACATTCCAAGTACCAGCTAAGATTTTAATTTTTTCCGTTTTTGTGTAGTTGAGTTCTTTACTGGATAGCTCCATTCGTAAGATGTCATCAATTGGACCTGGTGATGTTAGGCTCCACCCACGAATCCCCCCATGGTTTGCCAAAGTAAAGATATAAGAAGCCCCAATGTCCATTTTTATAAGAGGACCACAATGAGCAACCCAACCACCAATTAAATATCCGTCTAGATCCAAAACATGAATGTTGCCGCTCACATAGCCCACCCACAGCCGCGTACCAAAAGCACAAATGCTTGTTATTGCAGAAGAATCATGCTGAACTTCAAATTGTCTATTCCCATTTCCATCCCACCGTACAATTGAACCATCTGAGCACCCTGTCCAAATCATTCCATCAATCGTCATGGCTAATGCTTCTGTTTTTCGATTATCTTCTGTGAATGTTCCTTTTTGTGTAACTCTCCGAACAGCATCAGCTGCACCCATCAAGGCATTTCGTGAGCGTTGAAAAAAACTCATGGATCCTGATTTTTCCTTCTTTGATAATTTGGCCTTTGTCTCATCCTCCTCATGGATCTCCTGAGATGCTACATCAATCCGATTCTCAACCTGACCATCTATATTAAATATTTTCAAAAGCTCCTTTTTACGAGAATCCCTGTAACAATGCATCAAATCTATTTCTTAAGTTTAAAAGGAAAAAACCTTACTAAAAAGAAAACTAAGTCACCAGTGTTTTGAATTGAAAGAACATAACAATAATTAACACGAAAGATTTAAAGGATTACCACAGTGCAAAGGTATTGCTACCAGCACTCCACACCTTGGATTTAGAATTGTCAGATAACAGAAACTTTATATCTGCAGCCGGAAGGGTACACACTCCATTTACAGTAGCTTGGCTCCTAAGATCAATATATGACCTCTCAACTAGTAAAGTGGCCATGTGTCTTTCTTCTACTGTCAGAGAAAGCGACTTTGAAATGGATTCCCATGGCCAGGCTTTCAAAACGCCACCCTCAGAACCTGTCCATAAATCACCTGGAGTTGACAAATGATGAAAAAAAAAAACATAGATAATAAGTGAACTGATCCCGGTAAATCAAAATAAACATAGAAAAATATAAAGATAATTTTAAATTCTTATGCTAAAGAAATATAAGGATCAAGATTGAGATTAGAAATGAGTGGACAACAGCATGCTAAAAAGATGAACAGAGCGGTGCAAAGAAAAATAACCAGAACAATGGTTTTAAAAATGATGCTCTGATTTTGTCAAGGATATAAGGAGTACTGAAAAAAAAAAAAGGCTCCTAAAAATGAATAAAAGCAATGCAGATGCCGATAGTTACCAAGTTCAAATTATTTTGAATGTATAATTATATATAAAGCTAAGGACAAATTAAAATAGCATCAATTACAAACAAATCATGTCTTCACCATAATAGTAATCAGTTGGAATAAATTAAAAGAGCTAACATCATATACAAACACTCATTAGGAAAAAAAAAACTCATAATCCCGTCCTCAAATAGTTGTTATGAAGATTTTTTGTGCTTGGATGCATATAACATAGGTTGGAAACAACAAGGTAGTTCTTCCTTTCAATTTTAAATCCCTAAAATGTCAATCACAAAGCCACCTCTGTGCAGAATAGAAAAGGGTTGTAACTGAAACCACCCCTTTCACTTTTAATATGAAAAGAAGCTCAATGGAATTCCAACAACCGCCCATCTCTCTGCATAAATATAGTTTGAAGATCACATTGCAACATATTAACTGAGTCGAACGTTGATGCCGCATTTGATTAAGCACGGAAAGTACCAAAAAGGTGAAAGAAGAGATAATGATGAAAGTTTCAAACTTGATTTACCATAGGAAGTGATGACCATGGATATCACAGGAGTGCGATGGGCCTGCCATGAGAGACCTTCTCTAAACACAGATCCAGGCTCACCAGTCCCAGCACCAATGGTTTGAGCTCCAATTCCCTCATCCTCTTCCTTCGAAGAACTCTCCGACTCCTGCTTCGGAATTTTCCACGATCTAATCTTTCCGTCCTTGTGCCCGCTCCACACGAACCCACTCGCCTCATCTGCCACCAAGCAAAGTACCGGTGAAGTGCAGTCGGATTCATAAAAAGGGGCGCTGTCCTCATCCCCTCGCTTTGCCGGTCTCCCGTTCCAACTCTCGAACAGCTCCGAAAACTTCCAGAAACGCAATCCTGACTCCTGAGCAGCCCAAAGTTGCGAACTGGTGCAGACAATAGTTCGCAAGAAGGAGCCCAACTGTGTATCCCGTGCCGGGTGCGGCCGTACCACCAGCGCTGGAGGCCTATCAGGGCGCATCGCTGTACAGACCGGCACGCGGAAAATCCCAGCGCCTCCCCCGGCGCCAATGAACTCCGGAAGGGTCCCCGGTGCACCACCAAACTCCGACGTGGCTCGATCAAGGGTTAGGATGCCTTCGCTCTCAGAAATGGAACAAACATCGCTGTCGCACCGTCCATCGAAAGGGAAGGGGATGACACTGTCGAGAGATCCGCCAATTGGATAGTAGTAGGTAGGTACAGACGAAGAAAAATTAAGGTTCGAGAATCTCATATCCTCCACAGAATTGGGGCACTTATGCTGCGACAACTGCGACAGGGAGGGGCAAAATTGAGGGTAGGACAAAGATCGGGCAGCGTTGCTACCGTCGTTGAAGGCGTAGATACCTCCGGTGGCAGGATCTTCGTAGAAGGGGTCGGATACTTGATCGATGCCGAGCTTGCTAATGTCATTGCGCTTCGAGGTGGCGTCCCCTGGAACGGCATCGCGACCTAGAGACTGGCTACAGAACTGCATATTTCTCAGTTGATGATGAACGCCGGAGAGCTCCGGGATGGTGATATCTTTACAACCGTCGCCGCCGCCGCCTCCGCCGCCGCCTCCGCCGTCGCCACCGCCGCCTCCGCCGCCGTCTTCTTCCTTTCTCTCGGCCATTCTCGAGTCCCCTCGTACCAACGTATCTGCGCTTTCATCTGGCTCATTTAATTTATGCGAAATGATTACATCTTAAGACGCGGGGACGTAGGTTTATAATTATTAAAGAAATAAGGCGTCAAAATGAAAAAAAAATAAAATAATAGAGTAATGGGGCCCATGGCAGGCTAACAGCAACTTTTGTGGTAATACCCGCATAAGGATTCAATGAAAGGGTTGGATCGGCCGTCCATGGTTGATCCTATCGGTGCTGATGGTACGGAGAAGCATCCGTCGCATAATTTCCTATGCGATAAACGTTTGGTTGTTCGTTGAAAAATGATGACATGGCAGGCTTCTGTTAGTTGGAACTGGTCGCGGGTATGAGGGGGTGGGAAAGCGGGCTGCGTAACGCATTTTTATGGGTTGGGTGCAATCAAAATCAACAGAGATTTAAGAAATAGGGAAGACGGAAAGTGGTGTTTTGGTCGGTATCTACCAGAGGCCACTTGTCAATTCCACGGGAGCCTCTACGTGCATCGTTAATATGCTTCCCCAATCAATAAAAAAATTCTCTATCGTTCCGACAATCATTAGACATCACATCGTCCGCTAATGAGGTGTATGACGACACAACGCTTGATGGTTGATCGCCCAGAACTTCATATAATAAATTTTTTTTAAGATTGATTAATGGATCTCTATTAATTTTTAGTTTTTACTAATTTAATTTGATATATAAAAGGTTGGATTCTCTTATTAAAATTAAATTTTATTAACTTATGATGAAGCCTCAATAACTGTATCTTCTTTTCTAATTCCTCTCTTTCTTATGATGGATTAATGTTTTGAAAATTTTAAGCTAATCCATCATTGTTATTTGATGCCAATAATATTCCTCATCTCATATAGATGTTTATGTTGTTACTATTTTGCTAAATTCTTTTGGGATGTGGGATCCAGTAAAATACTTGAACTCGTATAATTCAGGAGGGACCTTGCGAAAGAAGATGGAAGGAACTGAAAGATTCTCTTAGAGAGACGGGAAGATAATTTTTTTGAGCATCTTGGATACAATCCTCTCTTTTCCTTCTTTTATTTATGTTTCATAGATAATATGGAAACCAAGCGTGCATATTATTGATGAGAATGTCGGTATAAATTGTCATGTTGTTAATAAATGATGACATGTGTGCCTACATACTAGAGTTCTCTTCCTTCTGCCATGAAGAACTGCCCATTGAGCTCGATAATGTAAATAGATAGTTGTTGAGGAGCTTGGTGGGAAGGTTCAGTCAGTCCAACGAGCACGGAAGAAGAACTCAAGAAACTACATCATATGATTGCATGAAAAACATATGGTTGATGACATGAAGTTTGAATGAGCTTTGAATTGTGTGAGCTGACACAGAAGTAGTCACAGTGGGTGAGATTCTTGCACAAATGGCCTTGGTTGGCAAGCAACCTCATGAGCCATTCAACAAATTTTGGTGCCTCAATACCAAAAGCTCAATAAGATTGATTCTTAGGCAAATTAGCAAGATTCCATCAAGGGAGACTCAAAAGCTTACATGACTACAAGCTATATCTTAGATTGGACTTAATTTGATCATATTATAAATTGTTCATATTTGACTCGAGCTCAAATCAAGCTCACATAGCAGAACCTACTGAGTAAAGAATACATATTTGGACTTATTCACTGCCCAATATTTTAAAAATAATGAAGCATTTAAAATAATATATTATTTTTTAATTTATTTAACATAACATGTTTGATTCCATGCGTCTTGGCGTCTATCGCATGTTATTGTGGCCCAATCTCAGTGGAAATTTACTTCCACACCCCTCAACTCTTATTTATTTACATATCTAACACCTAAATTCACTTTTCACATCACCTTATCTTTACATTTACATGAAAAAATAGTGATATTTTTTATATTATATGAATGAGGTAGCATAAATGTAGAAAGCAAAATTTAGGTGTTAGATATGTAAATAAAAAAGAATTGGCTGGTATGTATGTAAATGGCCTTATCCAACACGACTGAAGGTTTCTAGTTCAGCCCAAGTAAAGCTCTGCATGTGATGGAAAAAATATAATTTTAAAAACATGTCATGAGAATTATAAATATATACATATACAACCTTCCTATGAAATACAGAGGAGATAGAAAACTATCCCACACAGACTCGCACAAAAAGCGCTCTCAAATTGAAGAAAATATTGAGTCCGGAGTCTAGACTCGAGCTGCGTCCGGACAAATGACGTGATATGACGGAGGTCTGAGCTACCGCTCCGCCCCGCTGTATCACGTCCGTTGTCTGGACACAACTTGTTTTTTCCTCAAATAGAGACACGGAGTATGCAAATAGTTCAAAGATAACCGTTACGTCAAATAATGAAAAAAGAAAAAAAAAATTTAATGAATTAAATATAAATGTTGCAAATTGCATTAACAATCAAAATTAGAGAATGCTGTCAATTTCAGTTTGCTCATCAGAATCTTATAGATTTTCAGGAACCAACTACTCCATATTGCAACATAAAAAAAAAATATTTATGACTCACCTCCAACCGAAAGCTCATCAAGTCTAATGCATCTAGATTAGTGTTTATCTTAACAAAAAAAAATCAATGGGCTATTATAACTGCTAAATAAATGGAAAATTTACATACATACCAGACAATTTTAAGGTATTTACATATCTAACACCTAAAGTTTAATATTAAGGCTCATGAGACTTGGGAGCAGTTGGTGCCTGGCGATTGCTACCCCTAATTCATTGGTAGGTGCTGCCTGATACTTTCACCCTATGCTGTTCAGCTGCCGCCCTCTGAAAAATCCATCATATTTTTCATTCAAATTTTTTAAAAAATTTGAATAGTTTTTTATTTTTTTAAAAAAATTAAATATTTAGCAATATTTTCAAACTATTATTAAGTAAACAAAGAGGTATGACAGGACAATAGTCAAATTAGTTTAATTATGTGCTGAATTTTTAAATCTTATTCACCCAAAGTTTATTCATTTAAATAAATAAGCATAAATAAACAAAGGGACGATATCACATATTGTACTCTCTCCAATATAAATAGAGGATCATTTTATGATAAGAGAGTAAATAAACAACACGTTTTACTATCATTTTTGTGCACTTCTCTCTCTCTCCATCGCTCTCTCCTGTCTTACGCTCTAACCCTTAACGTGTGATTCATGGACATGTCAAAATGCAACACTATATAATAATAATAATAATAATACTAATAATAAATTAATTAACATCATTAGATTCATAATAGCCTTTAAGGCAAGTTCAAGCTCATCATAATGGTTTTGAGATAACTGTGTGATCATGAAATGGTTAAACATTTGATATCAGTTTGATTTGGGTTTTAAGGAGCTTATTTTCAAGATGTGGTTCTACAGTATATTGCAAAGGAAGATTTACATGCATACCACTCAATTCTTATGTATTTACATATCTAACACCTCAACTTCAATTTTTATATATATATGCCACTTTACCTATGCATGAAAAGGTGTATTTCACTGTTTAAAAGTTAAAAAAGTGATATATTTGATGTGATATGAAAAGTGATATATTTGATGTGATTTGATGTGATATGAATGATTTGGGTGATATAAATGTAAAAATCAAGGTTTAGTTGTAATATATCTAAATAAATAAGAATGGATGGTATGCATGCAAATGCCCCTACTGCTAAATGTCACGAGTTACTGAAATTTTCTTACCAGGATATTGTAAAACCAAATTCCTCTAATCCTCCGAACAAGATAACCATTCCAGATTTCTTTATGGAAAACCTTCAGACTTCTCTTTCACCTTCATTCTACATGTCAGTTGCTTGCTGTACAAAGAGACATGCGCATATATGAGTGTAAAAAATCATGAAATTCATTAAATCAATAGAAAAAATAAAAAATAAAAAAACCTCGATTTTTTCCCTTAGTTTTTAGTATATTGTCTATCATTTTGAATGGATTGGGATTTCGATATAGAACAATCAAAGTACATATCCAATGAAATATGTTGTAGTATCAAGTAAGAGAGTAAAAATGATCCGGCTCTTTATAATAGTCCATTTTAGTCTCAAAATTTATAAAGATGTCAATTTAACCCCCATATTGTTTTAACAGAGGCTAAATAGTCCTCCCTAGGAACTATTTCAAGTCAAATTAAAAGAGCAGAGACTAATTTGACATTTTTATAGGCCTTGGGACTAAAACGAACCCATGTAAATAGTCAGGGGTAGGGTTGTCAAAAATACTCAAATCGCTAACAGTTCGTGTTAGACTCGCTAATTAGCTTATAGTCGATTCGTTCATTGAGCAACAGAGCCAAATACAAACAAAATTTTTTAGCTCAATTTATAAACAAACCGAACACGAACAAAAATTTCTTTGTTCCTATTCGGCCTAATTTGATTCGAATTAATTAAATAATAAATAAGTATTATTAGTAAATATTTATATATTAAAATTTTATATTGTATTTAAAAAATATTATATTTTAAAAATTTTAAATAAATTTCACTAGGATTGTAAATAAAAAAAAATATATATTTTTACACAGCCCCACCTGAGGTCTTTTTCCCTTGGTCTGTATGTAAATACATAAGAATTGCGTGATATGTATGTAAATGTTGAAAAAATATATCAAATCCTACGAGCCTTCCCTCCAGCCCAACAGCCCCCATCCCTACTGGAATTAATCCCACATCGTGAATATTGGAATAATCTCTTTAGAAGGTAAAGAGGATGCACATTTCTTCCAAAACTCATCCTCATGCGAGCCACACAGCACATTGCTGAGTAAAATTAATTTGATTTTATACTCTCTTAGAAGAGTTAAAAAATAAAAAAAATAAATTTTACGATTTAATTGTATTATTAAATTTATCAAATATTAGTAAATTATTATTTCAAGCCAAACAGGAGCTTAATTCAAACAAATAAGCTTGAATTGAGCCGAATACGAATGTGCTTTTAACAAGCTATTACGAACACTAGTCGAACACAGACAATAAAGAAATTGAGCAAGCCGAACATAAACAAGCTCAAGCTTGCTCAAGCTCGGCTCGTTTACACTACCTGGCCAGGGGACTATTTTGGCACTTTACTCCATGATTATTAGACTAAAGGGGTCTTTGGTCGCAAGAATTTTGCCAAGATTTAGCTAGTGTTTAGGCAAAACTTTGCCAAATAATTGTTTGGGCAACATAAATCCGACTACATTCTAAAGTCTTGTCTTATATTCCTGCCATTTTAGGCTATATCTCGAATTTAGTAAATATCGAGGAAAATGAGATTCAAGAGATTTACACAGTTCATCTCCATTTGTCTCTTCTGCTCGTTCATTTAAATCCTAAAACTCAAAAATATTATGCCAAAATAAGTTTCAGGATTTTAAGGCCTCCGAGTTTTACTAAGTTGTATAGCAAAATATAAAGCTATTATCAGTTTATGATGATGAAATTAGAACAGTAAAAACACGCACCATTTGTTAAATTGACAGTACTCTGCCCCCAAGTGTAACTGACATATTTCCTCACCTGGAAAAGAGCAATCAATATGATCTAATTCGAATTGAAAGTAATAGAAGTGCAACCTTTAAACAATACCTTATCCCAATGGCGTTGAGCACGTTTGTGTCTTCTGATGTTCCTCATTACCGTATCTTCAAAACGCAGACTCTTAAATCTGGCCTCACACTGCAAATCAGATGGCTTAGATAGAAAATGTAAAAATACAGAGTAAAGGGTTGTCTAGCATCAATTTAGCTTTTTAAAAACATATTGCTTTTTAGTGTTTTCGGTCATTTTTTTTACAAATAAATTTACTTTTAAAAAACACTCAATTCAATTTTATCATCAGGTTGCACCTCAAAAAGCTAGATATCATGATGATTTTAAATCTTTCAACTTGATAAATTCCCTTGAAGGTAAATTTAAGTTCCATCTAAATCTAGTATCACTCTAATCTGACTGAATTCACTAAAACAAAACCATAATGAATGTGGCTTAAGAGCTTGAGCAATAAGTAGTGCTCATGACTTCTCAATGGTGACTACAAAGAAGGGATTTTACATGACTTAGGACTTACGAAGTAACAGCCTTTTGTAGTTTCTTTCAATACCATCAGATAGCTCGATATCAATTCATTGAATTTAACTCACCATAAGATTATTCCAATAATTGCAAAGGTAGCCGCTGAAAATGAGAGGAGGATAGTTTAATAACCTTCACGTCAATTTTCTTAAAATGAATGAGATGTGCCTGCCACAGACCTTCTCCAGAACACCAGTCCCTAAAGAGAGTTTTGTTTGGCTACCACTTTTGGACCACAAGCACATTTAAGAGGAGAGCTGAAAAGGGTGTTTAAGAAATGATTTTTAAAATTTATTAGATGTATGGAGATTTTGCTTGAAATTAGATTATTTTAGGTGAGCTTGAGTGGAGAACAAAAGGATTATGATTGAAACTAAATGAAGAACATGAAATTTCAAAAGGTTTGGCTTCTAACTTAAGCCTACATCCATTCTAGAAGTCCCTCAAAAAATTCATCACAGTTGCTTTATAACGGGTCGAGCAGCAATCCTCATTCCCTACTCATTAGGAGAAGATTTAATAAGTTAAAGATGTGCCCTCACAGAGTTTTCCAGATAAAGGTTCAAGCTAGTTCAAATACAAGGATCAAAACCTTCAAAGATTTTACAAAGAAAATTTGCTACCATAAAAAAATTTGCAAGCAGAAAAACATAAAAAAAATTGCAAAATTAAAAGTAATAGAGTAGATGAAGGAACAGGAACATCAAAATATGAAAACTGATAAACCAAATTATGAATCCTACGGCTGAGCATATGAGCTTCAAGGGCATTTCACAAAGAAAGCCAACAAATAATCACAATGAAGACATAAGAACTTAGAAAGCTTTGAGAAAGTTCAAATACAAGAGCTTCTAATTTGCCTGAACTTGATAAATATCTTCCGGCCAGCGCAAAAGTGTTGCCAAAGTAATCTATTTCTACACAAAAAAATGTGAGACAAAGATCCTGTATACATGTTCTAAGTATTTTATAAACATATTGCATTCCATTTACAAATTTGTCTTGACTTAGTATTTTTATTGGTCCTTAGGCATGCCAAGAAAATGCAATTCATATGCTTGGATAAACGTTTTAAGTGAATTGACATCAGAAACCACAAAACAATAATCAATCAAATATGATACAAGGTATGGGATAGTCCTATGACGCTTTTAGATCATGCCAGCGTTTCAAAAAATAGGCGTTGCAGAAAACAAATTTCCTAATTTCAAACCTGTGGGACTGATCAGGTTTGCCGGGACATATTCAACGTGAACTTGCTCACAAGCCTGGAAGCTATCAATCCAAAGAGGTCCAACTAATTTGATAGGGTCAACTTCATATTGAACTTAAATGTCAAGAGCTCTGACAAGCTTTCATTAATCAAGTTCAAAGTGAACTTGACTGGTAGCAACAGTCGGGATGATTAATCAAAAGACTTCCTACAAAGGTTGTTAAGCAGGCTAGCTTTGATGAGATGCAGATGCACAAGAAATACAGAAAGTGTGAAAGTACTGCGAAAACTTGGCCAATCAAAGCATGCTTATATATATTTAATAGGACTCTAAGTCAAACATTTTAGCTTTGTAATTTGTCGGACATTGATGTCTGGTAGTCCATTGCATTCATCATTTTCTCAAGGATAAATATCATAAACATTTAGTAAAGACCTACACGTCATACCTAGATAAAATGGCAGCCAAAAAACAGAAGAGGTTATTATTCATAAAAACAATGCGGGGTTCACCACTTTAGACCCACATAATTTAGATGACAGACTCTGCAGCAGACTTCTGCCATCTCCTCAGAAAGAACAACAATGATGCTGTCACTCAAACAAATCATTTACGCCAGCAGATTAACTCCATGAGAAGTTCTCAGTAAATACTCATTTGCAATATCTATTTATTACTGACAATATACGGTGAAATACAAAAGGAAGTTTAGCTGGAGAAATAGTTGAGAATAATAAATTAACCGACATGAGGACAGCTGAAGCAGAATATTAATGAAATGTGTAATCATCTAAAACATATAATAAAGAAGTTTAAATATTATCTGATGAAAGATATTGAAGTGAATTCCCTTAAAAAAAACTTACTTGTGATAGCAAGCAAAGAAAAACTGCAAGGCTTGTTACAGAAAGTCCACCAATCTCTGCCAGGAAAGTCACTGCATGCAAATAGAACATGTAGCTTGTCAAAGTTTGCTGCTAGAAAAATATCTAAGCAACTCAATCAACATAAAGCAAGAACACGCAAGGTCAATAATTGAAGGCATATTGATTACTCCGTTCAAAAGTTCCTATTATCAGGAATAAAACGTTAGTTAATTTTCAACAGTGAATCAGTATGATAAAACATGGAAGGAAATAAGAGCGTATTTATTTGTTGGACAATCTAACATGTTTTTGTATTCATTTTTCATGTATTCAAAAATTGCAACTAGACTTTATTTTGTCTTTAATAATATAAGTGGGGTTGCAAATGATGTCCGAATGGTTTCCAACATTCCATAAACATATGATGCAGAATTAGATATGTTCAAAATTAAAAAGGGAATTTGATGCAGAAAAGATTTATCTGATGCCAGTTTTGATGATGGGCCCCATCAGCTTCTTTCGTCTCATGAAATTGTTTGATTTCTCTCTTTGATTCAGTCAAATTGAGTTTATCTATGAATGTATTTTTCCATAGAAGTGCCTCAGTATGCCTTTTTCACAGTCTAAGGAATCATGTTAGAGACTTTCCGTGCCCTCTATTCAAAGGAATGAAAGTATTTCCTAGGTAAGAGCTTCGTAATGGCATTTCTTAGGAATAGTACAGGACATGAGAGAGAGAGAGAGAGAGACTCAAAATTTTTTATTCAAGAGTAGGAGAGGAGGAGGGATGGGGCAACCACAGGATAGAGGAAGGAGAAAAGACAGGAAAGGGAATAGAAGAGAGAGAAATGATGAATTATTTAAAATCTGTGGAACTTGTGTATTTAGCAATAAAGCTTGAAAGAATATCAAAATCAATTGATCAAATTATTGTCTTAATCTCACTAATAGCAATAAAAAAGTATCTCAATCACAACAAAGAGTTTTTCATTCAAGAGTAGGAGAGGAGGGATGGGGTAACCACAGGATAGAGGAAGGAGAAAAGACAGGAAAGGGAATAGAAGAGAGAGAAATGATGAATTATTTAAAATCTGTGGAACTTGTGTATTTAGCAATAAAGCTTGAAAGAATATCAAAATCAATTTATCAAATTATTGTCTTAATCTCACTAATAGCAATAAAAAATTATCTCAATCACAACAAAGAGTTCAAGCACAATCTCAAAATCAGGTTAAACAATAATCTAAAATAGAAAATTATGTTCAAACTCAAGAAGAGGGTTGAGTACCAATAATTGTTATTATTATCATCATGAAGCTCATCTTAAAAATTCAAATCAACATAATGGTAATCCACAAAGGCTGAATTAGCATATCAATCAAGTTTTTATATAGAGAATGTGACATCGGTGCCTGACCTTTTGATTGAAATTAAAATTTTATAAATTGGTTGGTGTAGCTCTAGTGGCAAATAAGATTAGAGAGAGTTGACTTAGCTGGTTTGGTTATATTAAATGACGACCATCTAATGGTCCAGTTAGGAGAGTTGATGCTTTAGATTCGACTTATGTTAAGAAAAGTAGAGGTAGACCTAAAAACACTTGGGCATGCTGTATAAAATTGATCTTAAGTTATTATAATTAAATGAAAATATGAAACTCAATAGGACACAATGGAGGACAAGGATCCCCATTGATGCGGGGCTCATGGTGGACCGGCTGGGCGAAGGTCCAGCCTAGCTGGAACAACTGATCCATTTGGAGGGGGTGTCCATCCCCCCCCTCCTTCCTCCTCTTTCCTTTCTTTTCCTTTTTCTCTCTTCTTTTTTCTTTCCTTTATTCCCCTTTCTATTTTCCTTCCTGGCTCTTTCCTAATTTAAATCATTTCCCAAAATCTTAAATTCTGATTTTACTCTCCACCCTTAATTTTAACATTTCCTAAAAATTGAGATTTTGATTTTATTTTATTCTTTTTTCTTAATTTAAATTTTCTATATTGGGTCAAGTCTCTTATAAAAAGGAGTTGATGTGTTTAGAGTTTGGGGTAATGATTTTAAAATCTAATTTCAGTTTTATCGGAGTATTTTCCTTCCTAAGAGTTGTATCTGATGACGAGGAAGGTGCTCCGGCTATAACCCCGTTCGAGATGGTGTTTATCTTTACTGTTCCTCCAAGCCGCACCCCCTGCAACTCCCTCGCAGACCGCTACTCCACCATCCAGGCGTCTCTTCTGCGGTCTCTTACAAGCCGCATAACTGTTTCTCCCTGCCGCACCCTTTGTAGTTCCCCTGCATGTCAGTGACTCCACTATACAGACGCTTCTACAACATTTTCCCACAGGTCGCGGCACTGTTCCTTCCTAACGCCACCCTGCAGGCTGCTGGCTACACTCTAGCTTCCAGATTCCTCTCGGCACCCCCCCTCACACAAGCAGAAGGATGCGGTCCTCAACCTTGGCCACCGTTCTTGCCTCCGTTCCTCGGCTTTGACCGCCACTCTTGCCTTGGGCCCTTGGCTTCGACCACCATCCTTGTCGCCTCTGGATTCTAGCCTTCAACGATGTTTCCCGCATCTTCCAACTGCGGTTTGATGCTTCAATGAGTGCTTGTTGCCCTGCTCCTCCCTAGTCGCTCGACATCGCTCCCGCATTCACCGCATTCGCCGCTCCATACCCATCTCTCCGAACTCCTCGTTGAGTTTGTTGGGTCTTCATTTGTAATGCTAAGTTTTATGTTCTGATTTGCGTGATGTCTTTCTTTCTTTTGAGGCAATGTTATAACCGTCTTTTTAAGTTATTAATAAATTTTTGACTTGCGTCATGGTTTGGGTTAACTGTAACATCATTTGGTATCAGAGCTAGCCCAACCCTAGTCCTATCTAGGGTTCCCTAGCATCCACACCCCTACCCAAGTCAAAATTTTTTTTTCACTTCTTTTCTTTTCCTTCTCTTCTTTCCTTTTTCCACTCTCATCTTTCTATTCGTCCATCTTGTCCCTACTTCCCTTTCCCCAACCTCCTTGTCTCCTCATCCAAACCATCAGCTATGCCCCCCAGAAGAAGCGCACCGAACCCCACCCAGGAGGCGATACAAGGTGAAATTTGCCGTCCACAATTGATAAAACTCGATAAAGTGACCCAAGGCGAATTCATCGTCGGTCGTGACCTCGAGAGTCGACAAGAAGACTGAACGACTATCTAAATTCGTTTCACAGGGAAGATAACAACGACGAGCAATACTTTCCACGCCGTTTTGGCATACAAAACCAACCACGAGAAGAACTCGAAGGCCACGGTGACTTCAACATTAAAATAGATCTCCACGAATTTGACGGAGGTGTGGATCTAGATGAATTCCTTGATTGGTTGCGAGCAATCAAACAAACTTTTGAATATAAGGAAAAAACTAAAGATAAGCGAGTCAAACTAGCAACTATTCAACTGAAAAAGCACACCTCGTTATGGTGGTACAACCTACAACGATAACGAACAAGAGACGACAATGATAAAATCACTAAGTGCGACAAAATGAAGAAAGCCTTACTACATAAATACCCGCCCCCACACTACCACCAAGATATGTTCCTGAAGCTCCACAACATACAACAGAGAGATTTCTGTAGAGAAATTCACAACCAAATTTGATCAGTTACAAATAAAGTGCGACTTGGTAGAACAAGAGAAGCATAACCTCAGAGGCCTGAAGTCTGCCATTAGTAATGCAGTTCAACTACATCTCTATTGGTCGTTGAGTAACATCCAAACCTTAGCCCTGCAAATTGAAAGGCAACAAAAGCAAAACAAACCACAGTCTTCCTTACGGCAGCAAGCCTCATATAAACCCAACAACAACTACCAACAAAGGCACGCCCAGAATAGGAAAACTAGCGTCTAGGATTACAAGAACCAACCAAAGTAGTAAGAAACTCGAGAAGGGAAGCTCATTCGAGCCCACATCAAACATAAAGTGTTTTAGATGCCACAGTTTCAACCACGTCGCCTCAAGCTATCCCACAAGCCGAATTGTCTCTTTAACGGACTAAAGTGTAATTAGGAAAGCAAGGATGAGGAGGCAGACGACAATACCGACGAAGCACTTCAGCTCCTCGAGGACGAAGGCGAATTACTAGTCATAAGACAAGTCTTACAGTCGGAACCAACACGTGATCATACATGGCTAAGACACATCTTTCACACGAAATACATAGTAAAAGATAAAGTTTGCATCCTGATAATCGATAGTGGCAGTTGTGAACATGTCCTATCAACGCTAATGTTGACAAAGTCAGATTTACCCACACAAAAGCATCCCCAATCTTATTCCTTCACTTGGCTGAAAAAAGGGGAATGAAATCAGCATAGATCAACAATGCCTTGTTGAGTTCTTAATAACTAATTAAAGGAGCAAATATGGTGTGACATCGTTCCCATGGACACATGTCATATTCTACTTGGACGACATTAGCAATACGACCACAAAACTCAACATGATGTAATTAAAAACACATACTCATTCAAGAAATATGGTAAACACATCATATTACTACCAAGTAAAGAAGCAAGAGGAGTAAACTACACCGAGGAAATAATCGTTCCAAGAGTCACGTTCATGCAGTCAATTCGAGATGCACCAATGGCACTAGCCCTAGTCCAACTCGAGAGGTTCATGGAAAAAACTTGATACCAACACGCCTATAACAAGACTTCCGGGACGTCATGATAGACAGTTTGCCAGAGGGACTATCGCCACTGAGGGACATCTAGCAAGCTGCATACCTTATACCACGATCAGTCCTACCAAATCGACATGCATACAAGCTAAGACCAACGGAATACGAGGAACTACAACGACAAGCACAAGATCTTGTTACTAGAAGGCTAGTTAAAGAAAGTACAAGTCTGTGTGTTGTGTCCGCCTTAATGGTGCCCAAAAAAGATGGATCACAAAGGATGTGTATCGATAGTGGATCCATCAACAAAATAACTATCAAGTATCAATTCTCAATACCTCGACTAGACAACCTCTTGGACCAGTTACACAGAGCCACTCTGTTCTTAAAAGTCAACTGACACAGC